GTGTTTGTTTAATGAGAGTGTGATGCATGTATCTGAGAAGAATGTTGTAACCACCACTTACTTCTATACACGACAGGGTGGGGATTGGTTGAGACCTATCAAAGTTACCACCATATCAAGACAGCAGGCTGATTCTCAGTGGCTTGGACGGGGGGTCAGCCCCTGCTGGCCCTCCAAGTCAACTGGTTTTCATTCGAGGATCTAAACAGCTCATTTCAAGCTTTAGTTCCTACACGCATACACCACTCATACTCTCATTCATTTTTTAAAGTTTTCCCTTTTTTGTTTTTTCTTTTTTTTTCGGGGAAACACAGTTCCTCAAACATTTAGACAAATGATCACCTATTTCTTTAGAGCCTACCCCATTTCAAGCCAAGCACCCCCACCAACGACAAGGTCTAGCAGCCCCTAGAGGTTGCGTAGTAGTAGTAGTAGCAGTAGTAGTAGTAGTAGTAGTAGTAGTAGTAGTAGTAGTAGTAGTAGTAGTAGCAGTAGTAGTAGTAGTAGTAGTAGCAGTAGTAGTAGTAGTAGTAGTAGTAGTAGTAGTAGTAGTAGTAGTAGTAGTAGTGCAATAGTAGTAGTAGTAGTAATAGTAGTAGTAATAGTAGTAGTAGTAGTAATAGTAGTAGTTGTAGTAGTAGTAGTAGTCGTAGGAGTAGTAGTAGTAGTAGTGAAAATTGCAGTTATGTTTTTATACAGTTCAACTCGTGCCTTTTAGTGTGCCGTAATATTTTTTCTTTCTGAGGGTAACTTGTGAAATTCGTTACTTTTAGTACACCTTGTTTTGTTTTCAAGGTATGAATAAGTTTTTATTATACAACATTGGTATTGATATAATCACTGGTACTTTTTTAACTCATATTTTGTTTACTTTATAATTGTGTAATAAAGCTTTTGCAAGAATAACGGTGACAATGTATTTTAGAAAAATGTTTAAAATTGAACGGTATCCTAAACGGCGTTGTCGCTCTATAAGCGTATAACACTACAAATGTTTCAAATGCCAAGAAAGAACACTATTTATTCACTACAAGCCTATAATTCAAACACCATTTATATATATTTAAACACTGTATTCATGTATATGAACGTATGTACTCCACGCTTTTTTATTTAGTTGTTTAGAAATAGTAGTTCTTATTTATGGGTGGTTATAAATAGTAGTCAACTTCTTTCTTTTGGCACTGTAGTCCGTATTAACAAGCTTCTCTTATGACTTTTAAAGTAACGCCAATTAATTGAGATTAATTTGGTAAGTGATTAGTACATTTACTTATTGAAAAATATAAGTAAAAAAGAAAATTCAAATTTATCATTAGACAACTGAAGCAGATAAAAATCAAATGACATTATTTAACTAGAGATAAAAATAAACTAATCGAAATGTTCGGTGTAATTTCATGCAATATTTTATGAAAGATGCTACTTCTCCTCAAATTATTGAGAAATGGTGTTCGATGGAGATTACACGATCCGGGCAGTATTAAATTTTAATAAATGAAAAACTTGTTTTGCTATCAGGCCACTAGATTATTAATGAATTTTACTTAAATCAAGTTACTTGTAATTGTCTGAGTCATGACTTAAATTTTTTATTGGATCCACAATTACAGAAAATACCGCGTACTGACCCATATTTTAGCAATATTACTAATCGACCGTATTAAAAATTAAACATTAGATTTAAACGAAAATGAGTTAAAGATGAAATTTATTTCTATCAGGAACGTATCAGTGCATAAGCAACATTAATATAGTGCTATAGCATTAAATCTTTTTAAAGTACTAATGTGAAAAACTATGAGAATGCTTTAAAAATATTTATCGATCAGGCACCCAATGGTAAAAAAAGAGTTTTCCGTACCTTGGACGTTTTTAAAACGCTGGTGTACCCTCGACAGAAAAAATAGGCTTTGCCACATAAGGGACATCGCACCATGGCTATCTTACGTCCTTTGAACTAAGAAATTATTCATTAAATTATAATCATATGTGAATTCTGTCGTGCCAATCTAGTAGTACGGGAGCGGTACGAGGTAAATTTGAGAAGCAGTCGCAGTCTCGACAACCACGCTACTAGTTATTTTAAACTCACGAACTACAATTTTCAAAAAGCAAAAAAAAAATTTTTCGATATGTCTAAGGTATTTTAATTTTTTACAGCTTCTTTTATCATATTTAACAGGTTTACTGATGGATATGAATTGAAAATTCGTTAGAACAAGAAAAATAAGACACGCGTATCTCTTGAAATGCTCGAATCAACGATTCTCCTAACTCAACCTTGTACGAAAAATGTTATTACCGTTAAATTAGCTGCGAGTAACTAACAGCGCACCGTTGGAAGCATTCAGTAGCTCAGATAGCTTGCTTTCCACCTAAAGAGCTTGGGTTCAAGATCCCGCTCAAGTACTTTTCTGCAAATACCTTTAACGATTATTTCTACATGTTTTTATTTCTGTGATAGTTGTAGGGCTAGGCAGCTCATGCAATACTTTACCATGCCATGTTGATCGTAATGATAATAACGTCTTGAGTTTTAGGAAAAAAACACTACAACTTCTTCGATAAAATAATTTTTTTTAAAAAGAATAGTTTTATACATTATAAATCTTAACATTGCTGTTTTTTTAGGAAAAAACAACTAACTTAATAGAATTTTAAACTATTAGTACAAATACACTCAGCATAGGCCAAAATAACGTAAACATCACGAAGCAGCTTTGAGTATAATGTTATTGGATGTAATGTTGTGGTGTAAATCACTCTAGTAGTATTTACACATAAAGTACACCATAGATACTTCGTGCGTTCTTTGTCGACATCCAGTACTTTTCAATGTAAATAGTATTTTACTTATTTTAAGTATGTATGAAGAAATGGTATTTGTCTAAAAAGAAGTGATATTTCCATGAAATATACTGTTTACCAACAAAGTAAAAGTTTCGTAAGTTTGATGTATTCAAATATTTTTTTTTTTTAGGAATTTCTGAAGTCTTTACAAAGTGGCAATGGATTGTATCCTTGAATCGTTAGCATTGTAAAGTTCTAAAATTAAAATCTAAGAATGATCAAGTTTTGTCTTGTTTTTTGATGAAGCTTACATTTGATTTATCACTTATGGAATTGAATTGTCTTGTAGTCGTGCATAATAAAATGAAACTAACTATAAGTTATATAGATTGAAAGCTGGTATTCCATAAGAACCTTACAAGAAAAAGTTTAAAATATTTTAAATACTTACGCTATCGTATGTTATACTTATGACATAGCAATGCATGGACGTATTTAAACTACGGTTTGCTTAAAGTACCTTTAAAAAATAAATACGACTCGAATTGATTTTTTGAATTCACGAGTACAAGACAGTTATAATAAAGTCATTTTTCTCTTCCCCATTTGTAAGCAGTGAAACTACTCAACAGAAAATATCGGTATTGGTTAACTTAAGACTAATTAAGATCCAAGTCTGGTCTGATCTTTGTTTTGTGAGTGAGGAATCAGAGGAAGAATAAAGCACCAAAGGAAAACCAAAAGACGTCTGCAATGACGTATGTGAAAGTGTATGCATACGTATTATCGTAAGAATTGTACTAAGCGATACTGTTCCTCGTATATATACAAACCTTTGTAATTGCTGTAATCACAGCGCCTTTTATTATTGTTATTATTGCAAGTATTGCTTTTATTGACACCAAGAATATATATCTGTATTAGTTATTTGTACAATAAGTTACGCAGCATTTTAGTGTATGTGTAAGTAGTGTCTTGCCGATAAATTCGGAGGTTGCACCTATTTATATAATGTGACGATGCACAAAGCCGTGCTATTACATGGGCCTGACACGTCACGTATGTAGTAGAACTTGCGCATAATAGAGTTTTCCAAGTGATCCACGTTCTTGAGGAGAGTGAGAGAGAAAATAAGAGAGAAAGAGAGAGTGTAAGCTAACGAAAAAAGACCTTTATCGCAAACCACATCCACCCTCGGGTCCACCTACCGCGTTTCAGGCCATCACCTATAGTTCAGCCAGTTTCCAGGGCCACCAAGTTGACTACCGTACAGCCAAGGAACGTCAACGCTGAGAAAAAAGAGAGAAACAACGTCAGGGTTACCGCAACTGAATCCATTTTTGAGAGATTCGCGACAAGAATGGTAAATCCCGAGATATAGTAGTGCCATATAGTGACGCCATAAACTGAGAGTGTGTGTGTGTGTGTGGGTGTGTAGAGCGCATTTTTGTCAGGAGAAGCCGAGTAAGACGCTTCCTAGAATCGAGGATGAAAGAAAGATATAAAGCGTGGTCACCGTGTGCCATGCCACGTGCTTAGCGCCAAGTCCTGCTGAGATTTCCGGGCCTGAATGCCTGCGTATGTGTCCCTTTATTTGAAATAAAGTATTTTTTTTGTTGGACACTGAAATTCCACTGTTTGCATTTTTTGTGCATGTCGCCTTTTAGAAATTGTCATTTACCGGTCACACCGATCATTTCTCAAGTGCACGTTCCAAGTGCAGTGTAATCATCATCATTTCTAGTATATGTGTCTTTGTATGCGGCATTGGGACCATCCTAATCGTGACACGTTAAGGGTTTCAGAACTAAAAAGTGCCCTGTTTTACAGTATAATAGTACGAGCGTTATACAAAAAGTAAGCTGCACTAAAAACAAAATAAAACTTGACTACCTTTAAATATTGACTTTAGAACTTTGCAAGGCTGACCATTTATAAATACAATTATTTACTCCTTGTAAAGGCTTTAGGAACTCCTAAAAAAAGAAAATTAATTGAATGCATCACACTTAACTAACCTTTTATTTTTGTTAAACAATAATATTTATCGGGGAGGATATTCTAGGTAATCTGATTCATCGAATCATTTGCATAATGTTTTTAATTTTCTTACCAAGCACTTATACTTCAATGAAAAAAATAAAAATACTTAATGCTACGCTCCATGATAAAAATATTCTCAAGTCTCTATTACTTTTTTTTTTAAGGAGGAAAAAGTGTACTCAGGCACAGCCGAAGCATTTGGCAAACAGTGGCAGCTTGGAGATGTTGTTGGCGTTTTCTTAGATCTCATTGACAGAACGATTAGTAAGAAGCAATTTCTATTTTATAGCTTTATTTTAAATTTTGCTTAATTCAAATTAATGATAACAATTGTTAGACTTTAACAGAACTCAAACAATTTATATTCATTTTCGGTAAAGAGAGAAATTAACTTTTAATGTTAATAAATCTTAAATATAACATTATAACTGTTTTTATGTGATACTGCAGATAACTAAGGAAATAACAAACTAATCAAACGCATGTTTTTAATGTGCATCACATGATCTTATCATCTGAAATTCTTCTGTTAAAAGTGTTCCAAAATTTGGAGTGAAGAAACATTCATTATTGTAACAATTTACATTATTAAGAAGGCTTGGCAAGGGTTTGTTTAAATTTCACTATCAAAATATCTTATAGTTATCTGGATTACATTAACAAAAATAAAAAATACGGAAAAACGTACTATAATCTTTTTAATATTAAAAGTTATTTATTATTATGAAAAAAGTGTATGTTTAATTTAGCAGTAAGCAGCAAAAATGAACGTCTTGTAAAAAGTATTGTACTATATTTATCATGGTTATGATTAAGCCACTAAAAAAATAAAATATTACAAATAACATTTAAGCTAATCAGCTTCAAAAATAAAATATCAGTAATTAACTAGTATTATTTATCTTTGACAAACGTTAGAAAATTATTTATTTTTGACTGTCAATTCTACGCAAACCTTTAAAACTCTCGAACTTTCCTCCATATCTTAGTAATTCAAAACATTAGTACACAACACGCATTCAATTAAAATGTTTTTAATACCTATTAACTTCGATAACATGAACAAATACTGTACATGCAAGCCCAGCCGTTTTAATCTTATAATTTTTCGCACAAATGAAGCGATTAATATTAAAAACTAAAGTGAACCACAGTTATACTCTTTTAAAAATTTTATCGTCAAAAAAAGGATTAAAGTTATAATATCTGTACAAGATAACAATCTCATGTACTTTAAATGGCCATTCCAAATAAGGCAATCATTTCTTAGATCTTACAAGCAAGATACAATACTTAAAAATATTCGTCACATTAATCCATAAGTGGTGCATCCGTTGGATTTCGGTGAAACTAAAACCTGATACCCTGTAGTAGTGTTATAGTTTAAATCAAGTACTTAAGTAAGCTATCAATAAGTATGTCTACATAAAAGCAATGTCTTATCTTTAACGTACCTAATTGCTAAAGTAAATTTTCTGATGATCAACAATGATTCTGTCTTTCCTGAAACGTTAGTCCGAGTGTCAGAGAGTTTCAATATTGCACTTTGACAGAACACCGCGAAACTCAGTTTTAATGAAAGACTATCACACATACAATAAGGTGTTGAATAAATTACACTAAGCGAACTCCCCGTCGATAGTTATTGTTGCAAAATATTTTGAAAAACGGCTCATTCTTCAGTTACTTAACTTAAAAACCAAGCATTTTAGAAAAAAATTCGGATGTAATAAAAACATTGGTACTACTAACAAAATGCGCCAGGTTCGGTTACGAATAAACTAAATGGCGACCTACTTCAAAATTGATAATCTAGAACTTTGGAGAGCTGAAGTTTTTGTTACCGCACAAATATCTCGATGTAACCAAATGAAACCAAGATATAAGAGTTTTACGTTTGCAACTGTAGCGGCTTTCATAATTAATATTAGCACTTGAGACTTGAACAGTTACATCCGTACACTGTTCTCTAGATGATAATTTTTTTAATAGCGATAAGAATGAGCTTTCGTAGACTTAACGTTGTTTAAAGCCAAGTGTAAAACAGTTAGCTCCCGCAGTTTATTGGCATTGACGTTCGAGCGGTACAGTGGACGTGTACAGTAGCCCTCATACCGTCTTTCAGCACTTACTAAACCGGTTGCGAGAAAGTTAGTTGCAAAAGTGCTTGCTTGGTAAGAAAAGGACCTACGAAGATGCATTTTTTCTTAATTTGTTTATTTTTTCCTCAGCTTTCGGATGGTTTTGTTTTGATTAAGTAACTAAATAACCTACAATTTATTGTTTTTCATCTGTAACGTCAATCTAGTGCCTTTTACTCATTCTGTATCTTAAAATAATTTTTTTTCCTAATGTATTTTGATCAAATTCTTACAACAAGCAATGACGTAAGTGTCTTTAATGTGCAACTGTCACGAATGTAAACAGTGTAATGTGAACATAGACACGTACGTAAGACTAAACATATTCAATAGATAGTACCATATTAGTTGCTGTACGCCAAAAGGGCGCCAGAGAAAACTATGATCATGCCAAAAAATTGAATTTACGTTTTCGTCATTTTTCAAAAATTGCGGAAGAAGAAGCTGCATCAACATCAATGAAGTGACTCTTGACATTGTTGAATCAGCCAAAGCGAGCAAGACAGAAACGTGTTTAGAAGGAATACTACCATATTTGTTTGAAATTGCAAAGGTCACACCAAATGTGCTACTTGGAGTGCAGTAAGTATCAGGAGAAAAGCAGGCAAACGACAAAAATCCGATGTACTGACTTATGAGTGACCCACTAGAAGAAAAAGAGGAATTAGTTTCTAAAACCAAACGAAATAATGCTGTTATATACTCATGTCTAGAATTTTTTTTTTTTGATATTTAATAACATATAAATAATATACTCTTATAATTTGGTAGTTAATGTCTTTGTTTTGTATAAACTTCTAATGAAAGAAAGTGGCTTACCTGTAAATAGTTTGCACGGAATAAATACATACTTTACATAATTCTCCTACCTTATCTGTAAGTCTGTTAATAATTTCAGTAAAACCCGAGTTTTCTAACTGTTGATTTTCTGAAGCTTAATTGTAAGTCCTTATAAATATTAGGTTACATAATTACTATTAACAGAGAAATACGACGTATTTGAAGATTTAAAGGGAAAACATGTGAAAACCCCTTTTTATTGCTTGATAAATTATAAATCAAAAAAAAGTAAATGATACTTATATTGCAGTAATTAAAACAAAAAACATCCGAAAACGAAGAAACAGCATTAAAAAGGCATGCAAGTCAAATACCTAACTGTTATTACAATGAACTGAATTGAACAGCTCAACTAATAAATCCCTTGAACTTTACCTGTATACTTGAAGGTCTGTATGCAGTCACATGAACTGTTGTCTTACTAATGACCGCACAAATGTTTGTCATAGGCTTGTTTCAGAAAAAAATGACTGATATCTTTTTACTTCGTATGTAGGCTGAGTGCTTTAATTGACGACCCTGACGGGTATGATATAAAGTGAGGGAATTATTGTCCTTTCACCAGTTATGTAGACTGAATGCCTCAGTTGTCCTTAATTACGAGAAATAAATTAGCTTTATGAATAATGGAATACTAAGCGCATGTATTAATTCATGCCTGGATAAGCTATCTTGTGTGTGCGTAAAGAGAAGCAACAGTGGTAATCGTAGAAATACGCATGCCGTTGTACGTGCACTTGTATTAACAAATAAATAGATGTTCGCAGAATTGCTTATGCTTCCACATCAAATAAACAAGGAGAACTCGTGTGTCCTGGTCCAGTTCTATATATTATGTTGTTCTAATGCATACCACTTTGCCAAGTTAAACGCTCTTCTACAAATCTAACTAAATTACGTCTAAGTTTATATTGCACAATTCAATTCTCATACATGGACACCATAAAGTAAGCTACAATAATAAATCAGTTACGACATAAGCCGAGATTAACACCATTCACATATTCACGATCGTGTAAGGCTCTTATGCTTATAAGAAATTTGATTCACTAACGACAACATCTTAGGCCTGTACTATTAATTTATTAAACACTTTCTCATAACGAGCTTTAAAGAAACATCGAGATTTTCGCGATTTAATGCCCACGCGTGCTGAACTTGATAGGTAGAGAACTTGATAGGTGAGTCTCTTGATAGGTAAATAAAAATTTGCGAGGCACACAAAAAAAACGAGAAACGACAAAGGATCAGTATGATACGCTCACTTACCTCTCTGACTCTCTTGCTTACTATCTGGTCACGTTTTCTTGCCAGAATAAAAAAAACGCGATGTGCATGCAGCTCTTACTCTCTCTATACAGTAGCCTACCAATTTATAGATATATATGTATATATATATGGTTGCTGATGCACTGACCTGTGGAGCCGACTCTCGATGGAACAGTATTTTATACCTTAAAACATTTGAAAAAGTGTAGAACATAACTATTTTAAGATTAAGTACGAGTAAGGGACCCTAAATTGACGTTTAAGATAAGAAATACCCAATTACGGGTAGGTTATTCGGTTGTTTTATCAAAACAAGAGTGACACCATCAAAGAGCTGAGGTAAGAATAAAAAAATTGAGAAAAAATGCGTCATTGAACGCACGCTTTTATCGCCAAGAAAACACCTTTGCATCTAACTTTCTTGCAACCAGCTTAGTACGTGCAGAATACGGTATAAGGGCTACTGTGCACGCACAGTGCACCACTCGAGCGTCAGTGCCGATCAACCGAGTGAGTTAACTGTTTTACGCTTGGATTTAAACAACGTTAAGTCTACGAAAGCGTAGTCCTATCTGTCCAAGTCTCAAGTGCGTAGGTTGATTATGATAGCCGCTACAGTTGAAAAAATGAGACTCCCGTTTCTTGGCTCCAGTTGATCATAGAGTATTTTTTTTTTAAATTTATAAAAAAGTCAGCGCAGTCAAATATTCTTTATGGCAAACCTTTAACTTACTTATTTGTTAATCTTAAATTTGAGAATTAGTCTATTATAAGAAATGACTTGTATCTACCGATTTTATCAAGATACTTGTGCGGTGGCAAGAACTACAACGCTCTATAGTTCTAAATTTAAAATTTTGAAAAAGACCGCCATTTTGTTGCTGGGTACCCAGATCAGAAACATTTTGTTAACAGTACTAATGTCTGTGCTACATCCAAATTCAGTTGAAATAAGAATTCACACGTATTTATTAATTATGTTATTATTTTTCTTTACCTAATTTTGCGTTATGTTTTTGATTTAATAAACAATTTTCAATTTTTTTCAGTCCTAATCTTTACGTACAATCATCCGTTAAATAATTTTTGTATAGATTTTTTTTCTTTATAACGCATAGTTTTTGAGTTTTTGTGAAATAACTGAAAAAGTGCTGTTATTCAAGTTATTTTGCAACAATAAGTATCTACGCAGAGCTCGCTTATTTTAAATTATTCAAGTTATATTGTTAAGAATGTTATATTTGTGAAATAAAAAGGTTGACGTATGTGTGTAGTCAACACTTTACTCACGACGATCATGGAGCTGGTTATTGGAGTACAAGTGCAATGAAAACCTTTGATAAAACTGTTTCTTTTAAAAATAAACTGGTTTTTTTTTAATGAATCTCCAAATAAAATTCTTGGTTTCAAACACAAACATATCCAATTAACCATCTTTTTAAGTCACTCTGCAGTACAAAATGTGTAAGCTGATTGTAAATATTTTACTGGACTACAACAAACTGATTTCTAGTATAAGGTTTTAGTTCAACTAAAATCTGACAGATGCGCCACTTGGGTAAACACGAAGAACACTATTCCAGTAGTACGTTTTTCAGCTTTTATTAAAAAATTTTGAATGAAAACCCTGGATCTCATTTTGGCCAACTTTTTTTATAATTATTTAACAAATTTGCAAATCTTGTTGTCTATTAATTTTAGCGAGATAACATATTCAAGCTTCGTTCATAATGTATAAAACTACCTAAAAAGCCAACATCCTAAGAAAAAGTATTAAGCCTTCCTAAGAATGTGCGAGTGAGTTTAAAATAAATAGGATTTATAGAAAATATTTCAAAAAACGTATGTTGTCTAAATATTTCATCAAAATTCAACCGTTCATGTTTGTTAACTTGTTTTAAATGTTCTCTTGTTCCTCCTCCAAATTTAATATCAAGTCACATAGTGTAACTAACTACCATAATAACACATAATATGCAAGAGTTTCAAAATTTGATACTAGTACTTGTTTTCAGCTTGTTATAAGAATAGATTTTAATTTTTTAACTGCATTTTTATTGTGATGAAAGATTGATAATTTTGTATCAAAGCAAAAAAATTATAAAAATCTTTAGATAATTAAAGCAACTGTATTTCTTAACACTAATGTACACTAACAAAAGAGACTGTATCAAATAAATAATTAATTGGTTAATATTTTTAACAAGCAAATTTTGTTTTTACCCAATAACGTGTATCAGAAAGTATATTGATGAAATCCCAGATTGCCTCCAATTCTAGCGATACCCTTGATAAAATTTTGCATGATGACAGCCAACGCTAGTCAATAATCAGTAGATATGCTCAGCTCAGATGATGTTAGAAAGTAAATGCTTTAGCCAGTGTCATCTCAGGTTACTGAAGATGTCGAATAAGATAATTATAATATCAGTAAATGTATGATGTAGATTGCCAAGTGTGTATATGTTATACTAAGGTAACGTAGTTTAAATTTTACTAAACAATCCTGGTTTGTATATGAGTACATCCATTGAATCCATGCTTGAATTTTACAAGAAATTCTAATACAAGTAAAAAGAATTTTTTTTCTACAATTTTTCCATCAAGATTTCATTATCGTTCGTCTTTTTTCCCTACTGCTCTCTGCAATTCAAGCTTGTCACTGACTATGAATAGATTTTTTAAAATAGATTTCAGTTCTACCTTTATGAAAATGAATCAATCATAAGAGATGTAACGATCATCAAGATTTTCGTAAAGATTTTTTTTAAGAAGTAGACATTGGGATATGACAGAATTACTAGGTAACTTAAGCATGTCATCTTCTTTTAATTCTTTTCTTTTTTTATCCTAAATAGTGACAGAAGCTACCTTAAACTTGTTAGCTTCATTTTCTTGGTAAGAAAACTGTTTTTAGGAACACGTTAAATTCAACATTTAAAAAAATGACTGAAGCATCTAAAATAATGTGACATAACGAAAAAAACTTTCTAAATTCCCAAATATTACCTTAAATGTGATTTAATCACCTCTGAGAAATCAACTGCTTATATGCGTATTTACTGTGGTCCAATGGTTTGGAAATCATGTAAAATAAGATCCCCATTGCTGTGTGAGTAATTAATTACATTTAATGTGAGGCAGTATTTTAATATGCCAATGACGATAGTGTATGAATGCAGAGTAACACAGCAATGGAGAGCCTATTGGGCATTGTTCTTAAAAATAGCTGTAAAATATATACATAAAAAATGTGATTTAAATTGTAATAACAATACCTACGTTCTCGTACCTTAAAATTACTTGCTCAAAACTTATTAGAGCTGCAATTATAAAATTAATATTTATAATTATAATATTTTACTGTAGAACCTAAACTTATAAGCTGTTGATAAAGACTACGCTACGAAGAACATAGAATATATCTGTTTACTTCTAAATATATCTCTTTATGTATAGAAGACCAAAGTGGCCAGTTTTTTGATGCCGAAGACTGACGTCCTCCAACTGTAGTAGGCCCCCCATAAGGCAGGTGGCGTTTGCTCCGATGCGACAGTTTTCAATGTCACCAATATTACATGAATAATGAAGAATACAGTAAAACAATAATATTTCGTTAAAAAAATAACAAAAACAATAGTTGTAAGTTTAAATACACAAATTTTGAATTATAATCTCAAATTTTCACTTAAGCTTTCATTCCTAGTCAAACACTTTATATATGTCTAATAATTTTTATGCCAAGAGTCTTATCGATGGCTACGTGGTTAAGACCGCAAGATTTGCTTTTGCACTCAAGAATTCGATTCTAGAGGAGATTCTTTTTTCTTATTTTTTGTAAGTTTACCTTTCCATAAATATATTAATCTTATAACATTTGAGTTTGTTTTAATAAAGATAAAAAATCATTTTAATTAAAAAAAAAAAACACTTTATTTCATTTTTGTATTCCTCATTATTCATGTAACATTGATAACATTGGTAACTGTCACATCAGAGCTAACGCCACCTGCCTTATGGGTTCCACTGCAACGGGGGGACGTGAGTTTGTAGCATTAGGGAACTGGCTGGTTTGACCTTCTAAAAGAGATATATGCTATGTTTTCTGACACTACATGTACGCTACCCCTGTGCTTATTTCACTATGATACTGGAAAATATTAAAAGTTATTTAAGATTAGCTTTTCATTATTTTTTAATAAAAAAACTCCATTATATTTATTTTAAAAAGTTATTGTTACGCTTAATGTGTTTATTTTTCGTCAAAAATTTATTTCTTCATTCATTGCACATGATATAGAAAGCTATAATTACATGTCAAAGTTAAGGTGTCCATCATACTTGATCCTTCTCCCCACTACCTACATTGACAGAAAAAAGGAGTCATGGTAGCTTTTAATATTTGATAACAGCTACTACACGACTTTTGAAGTGGTTGACTAACGGTGTGTTGTAGATTCAACTAAACGCTGTAGTAAGAAGCACGTAATGCCGTGCGTGCGGAAAACACAAAAATATGTATATATATATGTGTGTTTACAAGCCAAGGAGATGTTACTGCATGAGTTTTGTCGATAACCACACGGAAAAATTCTTCAGTTGTTAATTGTTAAATAAAAACTGCATCAATTTTCTTTGAACACAGGTCAATAGCTTCCTTTTTCAAATCTGCCAATTGAATGCGGAATTGAATACAAAATTAAATGCATGATTAATGCTTAGCACAAAAGACGGGCATTTTTAAGGTTATGAATTTTTCAACATATTTTCGCTCTTTTCCGTGTAGAAGTGCAAAGAAATTTTGTTCACATTTTGGTCCAAACGAAAGAGCGAATTTGTATCTTCTGTTTCATGTAATAACAATCCTACTATTAACTATTAAATAGTTTTCAACTGAACGCTAATTTCCTTACACAACATATGTAGTAGAAACTACTACACAGGGTTAGCCAACGTAACTCCGATCCTCTTACTACAGTTATGTAGTAGAATTAACCGAACATTTACGTAGACTGTACTATATTTTTCTCTCAGTGTACTTAAGTTAGTTACTTGCATGATTATTAGTACTAAAATTGACTTCCCTGAATCTATTTTTTATTAACTGGTACTCCCTGAAATTAAAATCCATGTTACTTAATAACTAAAAGATAAGCACAGGTAGTCCCAAATTTGATAGTAAAAATTAAGTACCTTGCACTTTCTATGAAAAGTAGTAAAAAAGCTGCAAATATCAGAGACATTTATTACCATTTAACAAAATCAATTTTGTTTCTGTACTTTGATAGGTTTTTCACTTAATGGAGAGTTACTCATGGATGCTCTTGGAGGCGAAACTTCATTTGCAGATGTACAAGGAGATTCATTTGTTCCTGCTTTTACACTTGGTGTTGGACAAAAAGCAAAGTTAACTTTTGGTCAAGACGTTAACACTTTAAAATTTTTTACCACATGTGGTTTGCAAGAAGGCTATGAACCTTTTTGTGTGTAAGTATCATCGTAGTTGTACAAATATTTAAAGTTCTTAGTCCTAACTAAAACACGACCGAAAGTACTTCATACATCACTAGAAGAGGAGACTAATTTTAGTTGCCTCTTAAATACAATGAATCTTTTTTTAAAAACATTAAGAATAAGGACAGAGAGCAAATCCAAACTTACATATAGTCAATAGCTGTTCACTATATCTATTTTCTAATACGTCAAAAACATTCAAAACATAATATGGAGAATGTTTTTTCGGTTATTCTGTACACTTAATAATTATTAGAAGTTTTTGTGTAAGCTTATCACTGGTATAACAAGCAATATGTCTGATACATATGAATTATCAAATAGGCTCATACTTATGATGGTACTCCAGTAGAATTTTTATGTAAAAAAAGAACTATTTTGCAGACATCAGATTCTTATACATGTTTTTTTTTTTTCAAATCTCCGGCATCCAATTCTGAAAGAAATTGTATAAAATATGACACAAAATGAACGTTTAATTTTTCTGATTATTCATGTAATACATTAGTTAAAGTCCATAGTTGTCAATTATACAGGAAAAACCATACATTTTTTGTATTAGATAAGACTTATGAAGTGATTACCATGGATGCAACAAAAAAAAATTACTAAAAAAATCTTTCAAATCTTCAAAGTCTTCGTAAAACTTTTTTTCTAATGGTGTATTACGCTACACTAAATAAAACTTTATTGTCCACTATCATGTGTATAATTAGCAAACACCCGGAATTCTGTGCTGTACCTATGTTCTGTATTTCGTATATAATTTTTTATCTCCTCTGTGGAAATGCCTGTAACTTTTTTCACAACAGAAAAGTTAAGAATACGCCATAAACTTCCAGTTATAACTTGCATTTTCTACACTGAGAGAACGTTGGTGACGCTAAAGCCCCAACTGTAGTTACAATAGCATACTAATGTCGTGGTACGCACGCTTTATCAGTTTTGGGAGCGCTCCGCTCCCAAACGATAGTGCATGTGTACAAACGCGCTTGTCAAAACCTGTACCTTTTTGTTCGCACAGAACTTACGCCAAATAAGATAAAGGACTCGTACTTACGTCTTAGTGCTAGTACTTTCTGATTTGGTACACTATGACACTCTTATTTAGGTGAAGTATTTGTGGTACGTCTTTAATGATATTGTACATATAGAAGTATAGATAAAGTGGGCTATATAACCTTGTATAATTTATGAGTATGAACACAGGATTCCGTCAATTGATTTTTAATAAAAATGGCTTTTTATTTTTAATCAGGAGCTCATAACTGCAGAAGCAGAAAAAATTTTAAATGCCCGATTAAATACAATAATAAAGAGATAGTATTACATAAAATAGGGGTACTTGTGAAGCTAGAGAAAAATTATTTTATAAAGTTAACAAAATTTAATTTAAGTAAAATCAGTAATTTTAGAATCATACTCACAAAAGACAGGAATCGTTTTTGTTGTTTATCTGATTTCAATTTTTATTAGGCTTGTTCTACTCCTAACATAAGGTGCTACAAATAATTGCATCTATGTCATTAAGCATTATATATTTCAAAAAACTTTTAATGATGATAAGATACTAAATTTTTTAAACAGCACTAAAAAGCTTTAAAAAATTACAACTGAATACAAAATTAAAAACATTTCTGTATTTTTTCAATGCAATGGTACAATTTAGATCCGTACACAAATGCAAAATAGTAAGTTTTATAAAGTAATTCTTTTAAATCCTATAAATTACTCTTCTCTCGTATTAGACTGTACATTTTTTATTGTATTACAACAGCTACATTAACAATAAAAAAACTTGTTTAATTTAGTGGTTGGGAGATACCCTAAGTGTTTTTAGATGCGTAATTTAGGAAATTATAAAATAATAAAACAAGTATTCTTGAAAAAAAAAATCAAATCATAAATTTATAATATTTCAGTATGATTAAAATATGTATTACATTTACGTATTAAGGAATTATAACTTATGTTAATAAAGCTTAATACGTAAATGTTTATAATATTTCAGTATGATTAAAATATGTATTACATTTACGTATTAAGGAATTATAACTTATGTTAATAAAGGAAACTGTATACTAAAACTTTTAAAGCAGTTTTTAACCTGTCAAGAATGTATACAATAAAAAGCCAAACAAACAGCAGGTGGTGATATATATTGTAGATTCATTAAACCGGCGGCCAGTGATTGTTCCCTCACATGAAACAAGAAGTGTGTCAGCTGTACTTTAGTTGGTAAGGTATCTAACCCAACGTGCTGATAGTGTTGCTGCCCGACTTTTGGTAACGCTGCAGTCCCAAACGGGAGAGCAGATCTCCCAAGCTATGAGGGCGCTGCGGAACCAAAGCAAGATATAATAGCCGTTCCGTTTGGGACTGCAGCATCACCAACGTTCTCTTAGTGTACTTACTAGACAAAAATATTGGCGTAATTTGCGAAGAAATTCCATCCCAAGCTGTAGATGTGTATTGTAAACACGCAGATGGTTGTAAGAATACTTTTCTATGATCAGAGAATGCTAGTTCTTATCTGTAAGGAATGTTTTTGTTCCTGAAATCAAAAAAGAAAAGTTGTATTTCAATAAGGGTGTGGTAAAAATGGTAGTTTTCGTACCAGGTGGCATATACTATGCACCAGGGCAAGCACCATATCTGAGGGACCTGCAAAGTAGGGCCTGAGGGACTCTTTGTGCTCGTTCCAGTTTAATGTGCATGGTTACAACTTTTTTTTCCTAGAGGGTGCAATAAGTGTCCAAAGATTTAAAAAATGCCGAAAGAAGGAAAATTATTTTACGCATCAAAATACATCTATTTCTCCATCTATTTCTCCTACTTTGAAAATTTTTTACCTCTAGATGTTAACTGCGCCCTTAGTAGAAAAAATAAAGTTCGAACCTGATGTTCATCCAACCAGGACAAGCACAAAGAGTCCGTCTGGCTCTGCTTCATAGGTCCCTAAGGCCTGGTCCTTGCCATGAAGACATGCGCCATCAGATACAAAAACTACTATTGATGATGGATGTATCGCTGGAGACTTTAACATAATTAATCCGATATTTAATTATTCAAACAGGAATAATCGTTTTCATTTTCAATTGTTACAACAAAAAATCTGTAAAATAGTTATAAACAATTTGCGACACCTCTTCTCTGTTGGTGTAATCATAGTGCAGAGATGATGACTCATAAGTGTTGATTCTGCGAAAACTAAGAAATTAAGGTCCAACACGTAATCATTGAAGTCAACTAACTGTTAGAGGGTGGGTTTGTTACGCAGTACAAAATTGAGCAATTTTAATCTTTGATTTAATTAGTAAGAAAAAATCATAAAAACTTTATATTTTTATCGAATAGTCTTAAAATCCCTGCTATTTTTACAGCGATTGCCCAAAATCATTAGTGTATTTAGAAAAATTTTTAAATATAATATGACTAAATCTTCATGCCTTCTGAACTTAAACTATCCGTCATCCATCAAGACAAACGTATTCAAATAACTAACTTAATTAAATTATTTTAAAAATCACATTCTTAATTAATCTAACATTTTAAATACTTCTAAGGAACTCGTAATCACCTGAAAGAGGAAAGGTTACTTTAAAATAAGTGCACACAAAATTTAAATTGATATTCAATATTTATTCGAGAAATAACAATATGTTTAAACAAGAAAATCACTTTAAATCCATACAAAACAATAAATATATATTTGACGTCACTCATTCTTCGTGCGTTATTTAACTTAAAAATTTTTTAATCTAAATTTTCACGCTTTTTTATAATAGATGCTTCCATGGTCTAACAGATAGACAGCATAAAGTGAGAGCAACTTTAGTAATCTCTTGGTAGATGTAACTTGTTTAGGTCTCTGGGAGTTTGTAAGCACAGCCTGCGATGACTCTCCCGCATTACTTTTACCCTATATAATAGTGTTATATCTACTAATGAGACTCGACTACAGCGGTGTATGCAGAAGTATTAATCACCCAGTATTAGCTGTAAAAGTATTTACCTTACTAACTATTGGAATTCGAAGATGACTCTAATTCTTGACGCATCTGCCCGAATTACTTTGATAATCAATGGATCAATTGCTTGTATATCGCTCTTGTTCAGGTAACGCCACTCAACTAGTTCTAGTTAAGAGGTAGGCTGCTGACGTAGTCAAGATCCCTCTTGACTAGTATCTCTCTTTTGAGTAGGTGACGCATAAATGGTCGCAACTAAAAGAGACTGCTCTTCTGGGCTCATTTAGGGCTTTTTATCCCCTTGTTATTTTATTTGTGTAGAAAGTTGTCCATTTTTTTGGTGAACAAGCCCCAGCGTTGGCTTGCCGTACCATGCGCACATAACCCACGTGGCGTTCAAAGTTGAATATTAATGTGTAAAGTAATAACAAATCTTGATTTGTTGTTGATTAAGAAAAATTTATAAAATAAAACAAGATAAAAGATTTGTATGATAATAAATGAATCCATTCAAAATTTTTACCATTTTTATTCATGAACAACACATAAATTGTCCAATGAGCTTATAGTTCCTTATTTTATGAAAAAAACCACTTTTTTCAAAACCTTTTTAAATTATACTCGTTTTATAATTCAGAAATCTATCATTTTTTATTGTTATTAAGCTGTTTTTGTATACACTTTTTTTGGATTTTTCGATGCCTAATTTCACTGACCCAAACATTTTTACACCTTGCAATGTCCTATGGTCATGTAAAACTTTATAACAAAATTTCTCCATTAACATGCTTATTACACACATAATCACGTTCTCTAACCTTTCTATTAAGAAATACATCCAGGGGATGATGTGAGTGCTTCGCACCATAGTTACCTAGCGTATAATGAAGGAGATCTAGTAAATAATTATACAGGTAAAAACTATCGCACGAAAACTAGGAGACTTCCAAATAGACTATATTGCATTAAACTATTCAGGATATCTTGGTGGACTTATATGAA